ATCAAGTCTAATTCTTCCAAGGAGCACTTCCTGGAAGCCCAGACCGGAGCACGGACGCCTGTTGTCTTCGAGTGAACGCCATAGACAGGCACGCTGCTTTCCCAGTGTTCTCGCTGCTTCTTTCCCCCTTTTTTTCTCTTTCTTCCTTTCGTCCGTGAAGCCAAATATCGTAACGCTGCAACGTTTATGGTTCATAAGCCGTGAATATTGAACTTTCAATTCAGGCCTTATCGTCGCCAATCACAAGTTCGTTCTCAAAAAGGAGTTGAACAATAATCTATCCATTGGATTCAAGTTCTATGCCCAGAAAGCTGAGTAGCAGATATATAGCGGGAACGCGCGCCCATGGTCCACGGATTTCTTGGCCAGACCTCGTTCTTCTATGCGTTGGCCCGGCGCTCGTTCGCGTTTGGAACTAGGCACCATACATCTTTGACGACACTTGCGTGTTTCAGATTGACGAGTTTCCTAAATCGGTGTCCTCCACCGCAACCTGTGCGCGTTCACCCGAGACGCACGAGACTGAGAATTTCGCGCTTGTCCCGCGCCTTCTCGTGCTCTCGCACCACCTGCTTGTCGTACACGGCGCGCGCAAGGACACGACTGCGACTCCAGGTCTGGTTCGTCTCGGGAGATGACCTCGCACCGCCGACCGAAAACGACGACGAAGACCACGATGACGACGAGAATCATGAGATGGCGCGCGATGCCGAGTCTCACAAGCGCGTTCCTCGAGACGAATGTCTACGCTGCATCGCGCCTATAGTTTGTCGCCAGCGGTATTAGAGAAGCGCTCGTCTTGAGCAACGTCATCCAGTCGCGCGTGGTCACGACGCTCGAGGCGCTGGTAATTACCAACGTCGCGTGCGACGCCGGACGACACGATGTACACCAAGATCAAGATGAAGGCAGCTAAGAGGCGCATGTTCACGAGGAGCTCGCGTGGAAGCGGGCCGCCGACCCGAGCGCGATGGCCAAGAACGAGGCGGCCACTGTAGGTGACCGCCGAGGGCTGAAGCTCCGGTCGCCGGTAGCTCGAGCAGAGAGCGGATCTGATGCGACGTGGAGCAAGGAGTTTGTGACGGGTGGTATGTTGTTGCTGGGCCGCCAGCGGTCTCGGTTCCGACTGTGTGCAAGCAGCAGGACGTCAAGCGTGAGGTGCTCAAGCTATTAGCCTTGATGTCGCGAGATGACGCGCGCGCTTCGAACTCGACGTGGCGCTCGCGCAGCTCCTTCTGCTGCTGCTGCGGCGGCGTGGCTCTTCGTCGTGTCGACCATTTTCGATTTGCACTTGGTTCTGGTATCCGGAATGTGTCCGGATATGACGCAAGATGCACGGGTCATCGTCCGCGCACATGCGCTCGAGGTTGTCGCGGTTGGCGTTTGTCTCGGCGCATCGACTATGTAAATCACACAACGTAGGCGCCCCACGTAAACAGAATGGTATTTCTACCGCTACAGCGTCGATGGCTGTGGCCAGCACTGCATCAACGCCAGCAGCCACGACCCGACACTGGAGTGACACCTCCGCGAGGCTCTTTTGCGCATGTGTACACTGTTCACCTGCGTCAAGGCACTAGCGCCGACGCTCGATGGTTGCGACGCTGCTCAAAACGATACTGGTACCACCAATCGTGCTTGGTGTGGCATCGGTCCTCTAAGAGACTTGCCTGTTGGCAATGGATCTTCAACGATTCGGATCGGTTGACTTGGTCTAAGTATAATATAGAGAAAGGAGGTGGTTTTACAATGGCTGGCCCGAAAGGGCTCACTCCAAATTTGGTAGCCTGGTTTCCACCTGCCTTGCACGCTTCTACGCGCCGCAACGACCTCTTGTTCCTTTGTCTTGGCTGACGCCTCTGCAAGTGCCTTTTACAAGTCTCTAATCCTCGACGAGAAGCATTCGCATGCTACATGAGGACGCAGCAATCTTTGCAAGCGCTTGCCTAGTGAACCAATGTCCTAAATGACAGGGATGCGAGACGGAAAAAAGACCTCGGCCACACGAGTTTCACCGTCCACAGTCGACATAACGCCTGCTTGCGACTGCCCTGTCGTGCGACACGATGCCGTGCAACCGAGGCGCTGGAGAGTAAACTGCAGAATGGGCGACGCTCAAGGTTACTCCTATCATCTTGTAAAAGCTCTCCATTTTTCCTTTGTCGTGCTCGCTTTTACACTTGTTTTTTCACGATTGAACGTTTGCGCGGAGATGTGAAATTCTCCGAGTGCCACGTCATTACAATCGAGTGTTTTTCATATTGTGCGACCTCTGACATACGATACCACATCAATACCATCACACACGATGTGATAATGCATCACCGCGAGTGCGGAAGCCGAGCTTTCTGAGCTCAAAGCCTCTCATTCCAAGCGCTCGACAGAATGCGATGCCTCTGGGAGTGGTAATTGCATGAATGTTGCTCTAAATCCATCCAGTGGTTGGGCGATCGATCGTCGCTACAAATGTAGAAGACAAAGACATCGGCTTCCCAACCGCGGTCATTTGTTTTTAACGTTCTGAGAGCGCTTCGTATCTGTTGTCGAGGATTGCGCGCGCTGTACGACTGCAGGGTCGGCGTAGTGTGGCCTGCTCTGCTCACCAAAGTGTCTTCTATCATTGTGCCAAGTTTGGGCGATTCCAATTTCAAACGTGATGTAGTCGACAAGAGGTGCCCGCATCGTGGAGTGGTGCCTCTAAGATGGTATTACGATCTTAGTTGTTGTTGAAGTGGGTCGTCAACCGTGGTATGGTACTACGATCTTAGTTTGTAGTGCGTCGCGCCTCTTAGATGGCATTACGATCTTGGTTTGGAGCGCATCCTGGATCACGTTTCGCTGCCACTGTACGCCTCGCACGTCGACGCGACCTCGCATTTCGTGGTCTCCAAAGCGCCCTCTACAACTGTGCCAAATCTTGGCGAGTTCATTTTCAAATGCAATGTGGTCGACCTGGCGTTGGTTTGGATGGAATCGCGCCACGATAAAGACTGGAAACGTACGAAATTGTGCTGTGTACGACGCTTGGTGTTGAGTGAGACTCTCGATTCCGGCGACAACGACGGTAATCTCAAACACATAGCACGTGATCTCTATTAGGACGACATCAAGCCGACGCCGTCGACAACACCGTCCAAGAGCAGCACAATATAAATAGTGTTGCGTAGCTGGGACTTGACGACGCGGTGGGCGCCCGATTCGAGGCGCGTCGCTGCGGTCGTCACCGCATCCCGTAGCTTCGTGACCACTCGTCACTGGCTTGCAGGAGCGCGCGCGCTGGTCGTTGCGGCTGCAATTCCTAACGTCCTAAGCAATACTAGTATGTTGGCGTGGCGCTGCCAGCAGTCTCGGCTCTGTCCAGTGTACAAGCAGGAGGACCTCATGCGTAAGGTTCTCGTGCTCGAGCCATCGGAATCAGTGCCGAAAGATGATACGCGATCAGAAGACGACGCGGCACTGGTCGACGTGCGAGAGGCCGTCGAGAAATTGGCCTGGGCTCCGCCCAAGAGCCGACTCTGTGGCTCGTCACGCATGGATAGGCTGCGCCATACCTATAAGTACAGCGACGTCGCGTGAGTTCCGGAAAGTTTGCTACTCTGATTAGCCACAAATCTAGAGCCTCGCCGCTCTGATTGGCTGAAACGCTTTCGCCTAGCGTTGACGAAAATGAGAAAAACCTACGAGGAAGGCTGCATTGCGACCGAGCAATACCTCAGGATGGTGTGTGCGTAGAGAATTTTGATGAAGTCTGCTCGAGCACAATGACGCAGCGCCAGTGGGGCCCGAGACGCCTCGGCGTCGTCTTTCTGCCGTCGCTGGTCGTTATTATGGTGTTCGCCATTGACAACCATAAATAACCATATTTTGGTGCTCACAGGTCCGCCGCGCCCGCGGATCCACCGAAATGAAGTTTAAAAATAAAATCGCCCATTGTTACCAGAGCGCTGGACCACACTTTGGGGAGTTTAAAATGCTATGTGGCGTCGCCGTGCGAGCTCTGTAGCGAGAGCAAATGACAGCGGCAAACAATATTTTGATATAGTGTTTTTTTCACTATACCGAAATACTGTACGGGATACGAGGCTTCATCACGCAGCGGTACCACGCTCACGTTGCCTCCCTCAGCCACATGCAGCACGTTCTATACTATGAACAAATAGAGACGACGTCCTCAGTTTCCGCGACTTTGACGCATTTTCAACCGAAATTGCACGTCGAATTTCCTGAAAACCGACGCTCGGCAGTTCGAGTTTGGTGTGAGTGTCCAAGCAACGACGGCGACCAATAAACTGGTTGCAGACCGTGTCGAGATCCATTACCAACTGTGACAGCCAGTCTTCCGGTCCTTGGAGCTTTGAAACCCCGCGATGTCACGTGAAGTATTTGGACAATTCTGCAACCACCTCGAAAAATGGAAAATGAATTTGCGCGTGATGGCGCTACGTGCAGCGTCGGAAACGACATGTACTTCATTTGAGAAGTGTGTGGGGAGGTATACATGGCTTCTACGAGGCGCTGGCGCGTCGGTGGGCTGCTACTCGTAGTTGTGCTGGACGGCTCTCACACTATTTAAGATGACGTTTTGTGATTGGCTAGAAATAATCTAAAATTCAGGGAATAAAAACATCCATGCCAGATCGAGTTCCAAACGAGCCAAGCACAGGAAGTGGTGTGGACGCGCGCAAACATCGAGAAGGTCCGGCGGGACGAACGGGTGCACGAAGAGGCAGAGCACGCTGCCTTGCGCGAGAAGTACAAGCGGAGCCCCGACGTCCGGGTCGAGGCGCTCAAGAAGACCAAGCCGACGCCGCCGGCCATCGACCTCTTTGCGTCCGACATGATCACGCCGCCGCCAGTCGCCAGCATCGAGAAGTACACAGACAAAGGCATCGCGCTCGGCGGCGCGCTGAGTCCGGCCCACTGCCTGACGGGCCGACGCAAGCCTCCTTCGCAAGCTTGCCCTCCAGCAGAGCCAAGACGACAACGACGCCACCAAGGCACCACGTGCAGCGAACGCCGACACCATGGCTGCGATCGTGAGCCGACCCAAGGCGCTCTTGGTCGCCGCCAACAATACGCGGGAAGCCGACGCACTTAACTTTGCCGGTAACACGACGAGCACGGAGCTCAAGAAGACAGCCAAGTCATCGTCATCTTCCTCCAGTCGCCTCGAACAGGCTTAACGCGAGCGCGAGGCCGTCGAGCAGCGCCGACTCGAGACGCTACTCCATGTAGATATATATGTATAAAAGCAAACAACATTTTATTTATTGGGCTGTCCACTTGCACACGCCAGCTTCGCTCGCCACAGCTGTGTAGGACTTTGCGGCAGAATCTTTGGGACAGCGTACTTGGAGAAGCCTTTGTCGAGCGCCGGCGAGGGAAACGCCAGTTCACAGAGGGCCATGGCCTTGGGTGGCGCGCAATCGGAGCGACCGTGAGACCCCGGGAATCGGGTCGAGCAGCTGCATCTGGGGGCAGGGCACGATCGTGTCGAGGAGATACGGCGCGAGGTCCTTGGAGTCGTTGACTACGCGCGCATGCTGCTGACCAAAATATTTTTCGTCTCGAAGATGCGGGCCGTCCAGACGCGCTGAAGCACGGATATGACGAGCGCAAGCGACGGTACGTCGATCGAGTGCCCCTGCTTCATCGACTGCAGCGCCTGCATTGCGTCTGCCGTCTTGCGGTTCGGTCTGATTGGTACGCCATGCCGGATCGTCGACTGCGCGCAGGACGGAGGTTAAAATGGACTTGCCTTCGTGCGCTGAGAGGTTACGCATAAAGTCCTTAGACGTGCCGCTGGCGGCCTCGCCCACGGCGGCGCTCGTGGTCTCGGTGCTGGCTGTCGTGTCCAAGCAGCAGGACGTAATGTGTGAGGTGCTTAAGATTGTATCTGTTGAACATGGGTTTTCTAGGCTGTACACATTGTCATTAGTTTGGCTACTGTGTATGTGCATTGGTCAGTGAAGGAACAATCTATAAGGCAGTAGACAACCGACAAGGTGTCTACAGAAAGGAAAGCACAATACAGTGTATGGCTGCTATGCATACAGTGTATGCATGTCACCGTACAAGCGGATGATCGAAGATCGAACTTCGAGCACAAAGGCGCCAGTGAAGGCGATTGGCCAATTTGAAGGAACGGCTAGGGGCCAATTGCCTGTGGGCGTGTGCTTCAGAAGTGTTCGGCTTCCAGAAGTTTCTAGACCTGTATTGAATGCATGTGAGCGGTGATGTTGTTCGAAGGGAAAAGTCTTGAGTGCCTCCGGCACTCACTCCAAGATTTGCCAACAACTGAGCTCTTCTACCTCTTTACCACGCAAGTCAATAGTATCTGTCACGCTTGATACCGCAAGATGACGCGCGCTCGCCGAACACGACGCGGCGCTCGCACAGCTTCTTCTAGTGCCGTCGCCGTGTCGATCGTTTTGGAATTGCTCTTTGGTATCCGGAACTTGTCTGGATACGCTTCAGCGGGACAAGGGTCGCACAGCTGGGTCGCACTTCCTCGCACAGCTCGAGGTTATCGCTGTCAGCGTTCGTCTCGACTATACAACCCACAGCGCTAAGATACCCAACCTCCAAGCAATGGCATTTCTACCGCTAAGGCACCGATGGCTGCGACCAGCGCTGCATCAACGCCAGCAGCCACGACCCGACACTGGATTGACACCTCCGCGAGTCTCTTTCGCGCCTGTCTACAATGTACACCTGCGTCAAGTGACCTGTGTCAAAGTACAAGCGACGACGCTCAATGGCTGCGACGCAGGTCAAAATGGTGCTGGTACCACCAATCGTGCTTGATGAGGCATCGGTCCTCGACGAGAAGCATTCGCACGCTGCATGAGGACGCAGTGATCTTTGCAAGCGCTTGTCTGGTAAACCAATGTCTTGTATTGAAGCGATGCGTGACGAAAGAAGGACCTCGGCCACACCCGTTTCGCCGTCCACAGTGGACAGGACGCCCGCTTGCGACCGCCCTGCCGTGCGACGCGGTGCCGTGCGACCGAGGCTCTGGAGCGCAAATTGCAGATTGAGCACCGCCCAAAGGATTTCCAATTGTCGCGTATAAGCACTGCGTTCTGCCTTTGTGGAGCTTGTTTTTACACTTGTTTTTACACGACTGAACGTTTGCGCGGAAATGGGACCTTCTCCGAGTGCCACGTCATTGAAATCGATATTCGATAAAATCTCATCTCTGACATACGAGGACGCATTATAGCCTGGTACACGTTTTACACAAGTGACATTAGACGACATCGAATCGTTGTGAGTGTGGAAGAGGAGCTCACGTCCGACGATTGTGAGCTCCAAGCCTCTCGTCCCAATCCCTCCACAGGATATGATGGCTTTGGAAGCATTTGCTTTGGACGTTGTAGCTCCAAGAATGTTGCTATGAATCTCATTTTCGATGGCGTGGAAGAAAAGATCGTCGCTACTACAAGTGTCGAAGACGAAAACTACGCCATGACATGCCAACGTGGTCATTAGCTTCTTAACGTTTTAAGAGCGCTTGGTATCTTCGGTCAAGCATTGCGCGTGCGGTAGGACGGCGGCGGCAACGTAATGTAGCATGCTCTGCTCCTCAAAGTAGCTTCTATCACTGTGTAAATTCTGGGCGATTCCATTTGAAACATGATGTTGTCAACAAGCGGTGCCGGCGTCCTGGAGTGGTGCCTCTAAGATGGCACTAGGATCTTAGTTGGTGCACGTAGTGCCACTCAAATGGCACTACGATCTTAGTTTGGAGAGCATCTTGGATCGTGTCTCGCTGCCACTGTACGCCCCGCTCGTCGATGCGACCTCGCATTCCGTACTCTCCAATGCATCCTCTACCAAAGTGCACCCGAGAAAATGCGACCGGGTATGTCCACGAATGATGTTGCATGGCGGGTGCGGCTACTAGACAAAATGACGGAAATGAAGTCGTTTTCGTCCAGATATAATTCATGCAATCGAGAAACAGTAGGAAGAAGTCAGTAGAGGTCGGGAATACCAAGCCACGCGGGGCGCGACGAAAGCTTGACCAACGAGTCGATCGTCACGTTCGGGTCGAACGCGACGCGATGGCCGTCGTGGATGACAGCGACATGCCCGAGCGCGTTCTCGAGTGGGCGCGCGAATCCCCACTCGGAGACGGCGACGACGTGAATGCCACCGTACGCGAGGCACACAAACCCCTCGGACGCCAAATTGAGCGACTCGCAGAGCATGAGCGGTGGCACCTTGGCGCGCGTCATCTGCAGCGCGATTTCGGGCGCCATGCGGTGCGTCGACTCGATGAGGATTTGGTGCAAGTTGGACGTGACCGCGTTGGGGTCCACCGGTTCTTTGGCCGTGCGAAGCGACATGATCGAGACGAGGAGACTGCTGCTGCTGTGCGTCACCGCATGCCAGACGACGTCGACGAGAAATGTTGCGCCGT